ATGTCATTGATAAATATATTGAACAGCACTGGTCCCAGTGCGGACCCCTGAGGGACTCCACTCGTCACTGGTCTCCACCCGGACATTGAGCCGTTGACCACTACCCTTTGGCTGCGACCATCCAACCAATTCCTTATCCACCGAACGGTCCACCCATCAAATCCATGGCTCTCCAATTTAGAGAGAAGGATGTTGTGGGGGACCGTGTCAAAGGCTTTACAAAAATCCAGACAGATGACGTCCATAGGTTTTCCCTTGTCCACCCTTGTTGTTACACCATCATAGAAAGCCACTAGGTTGGTCCTGCTTGTCAAATTACCTACCCAGTGAGCGTCTGGCTCCGTGCAGTCCTTTTGCCTGGGGATTGGCAATGGACCCCTCGATCCTCTTCATGCTGGATGAGTTACTTTGTCAGCCTGACACCTGCAGCACTGTGCTGATGATTCTGCATCCATTGCCAGAATGACATGGATCATTAAAACAAAATGCAGCAATACCTGGGGATAGAATGGGAGCTGTTTCTGCCTTGTGCCATTGACCTGATGTGTGCTTATCGGTCAAAAAGAGTAGCAGTATTTTGCTCGTGCCTTTCAGCAGTGAACATCGGTATCTTTAAAACTTTTGCAAACCACTCGTATAATGCCATTTCAGTAGAAAGTCATGATGTGCTGTAAAGATTTTTCCCACTGAGTGGAAAACTTGTTTAAAATGGTATAAGGTTGGAGAGCGGACTTGTCCGCTTTTGACCTACACCCCAGTCGCTGCTCCGTATCCAAGACACATTAGTTTTCATCAGGGTTGTAGGCAGGTGCTGTGTGAGTATCCCAGTGGCACTGTGCAGCAGTGAATTCTGTGCTGAACCAGTCCAGTTCTTTTAGTAGCTGTTATGAATCTTCAGATTTGTGTGGTCTGGGACTTTTAAAATTCTGTTTAGAATATGTTGATGCTAGGTGTAAAGAGGCTTAAAAAAGTAAGCTAGCATCAGCTCATTGTAGAAGAGATTTGAGCGTATCAGAATTAAGTTAGGCTTACTTTTGTATTTTCCTTTTTAGTCCTTCTGGAAAGCTTGTTCAGATTGAATATGCTTTGGCTGCGGTGGCTGCAGGAGCTCCATCGGTTGGGATTAAAGGTATGTTCAGAAAATGACTACTTCAGTAAAGGATTCAGGATTCTGAGTATCATTTCAGAGAACTAAGATAGATTGGACTAGGTACTGGGTCTTTCTATGTCTTCCCTTCTATTACATATTTTGGTTTTTTTTCAGTGTATTTTCACATGTTTTAGTGGGTTTAATATTTCCTTTTTTTTTCATGCAACTCAGTATCTTTTTATAAAGAAGGAGGGGAGCGTAGAGCTCCATTCTAGGAGAAGAAAATTGCTTGGGTGATTTTGGAGACACTCAGCTGGTAGAAGTTGACATCTCTTTTATTGAGTGTTCCTGTCTCAAGTAATTAACTCTAGCTGTGTGTCCATATATGTAGAAATTACACCAAAAGTTACTTCAACTGTCTGATTATTAGTATGTGCTTCAGAATCTTTAGATAGGGGTTATGGGAGCTATATGTTTATTTAAAATGAGAAACGATTGTTGGGTGGATTCATCACAGTATCTCTGTTTAACGTGATTTTAAACTTGCAGGGTTTTTTAAAAAGGGAACAGCAAAATTCTTTACTGTCTGATAAACTTGTTCTGTGTTTTGACTGCTTTCCATAATTTTGGTTTAATATTAAAAAAAACCCCAACAATAACAAACCTTGTTCTTTTCCAGCTGCAAATGGAGTGGTTTTGGCAACTGAGAAGAAACAGAAATCCATTCTTTATGATGAAAGGAGTGTCCACAAAGTAGAACCAATTACCAAACATATAGGTTTAGTGTACAGCGGTATGGGTCCAGATTACAGGTATGAAGCAATTCTGTTTTGTCACCATTTAGACGTGTTTTCGCATATGAAATTGAAGAAACAGAAGCAGATAGCCATTAGCTGTTTCTTTCTAAGTGTACGGCATAATATTATATTGTATTACAGTGTACATGAAATTCACTTTAAGTTTTTCTTAATATATTCAATACCTTGTTAAATAACCTTCTATCTAAAGAATGAGTATGGAATGAACAGCAGTGTAATTCAACCTTAGTTTCAGTTTAAGTATTTCAGAGATTACTCTAGTTGATAAAAAGATAACCCAGCACAGTCTCTGTTTTCTTACATTGGTGTTAGGCCAGACGTATAATTCATTAGCATAATATTTATTATGAATTTTCAGTTCTAGTTGTAACAACTAGTTGCAATATCTTTGTCATACTAATTTTGTCTTTGTTTTTAGAGTACTTGTGCACAGAGCTCGGAAGC